ATTCCTTCTTCGCCCCCGCCTCCCTCCCCTTCCCCCCTCCCCCCCCAATCTTCTTGTTCTTACTGAAGGGAATACGGGTTTTCATGACAGTCTAGTGTGAGAACCAAAGCGCTGTGGACGGGACAGGTTGTCGGCGCAGGGGCTGGCAGTTTTGTACATGGCCCGGGGTTTCTTTCCCTGTGTGTCCGGAGCTTGAATCGAGGGGGGTGCCTTTCTTCTTCGTTAGTTTTGCCGATGTGTTGTTTAGGTCGTGCTGGCAAATGCGATTGGATTCAATGCAAGAGTCCGGACGTGTTTATCAAGAGGATGGAAAACTGTGATTTATCCAGATTCAGGCGCTTAATCCAATCCTCCTTGTGAGTACCGCTGCGGGGCTGCGCAGTGTGTTTTTGCAGTGGCATTTTCTTCTGGCTGCGCGAATAGAGGAGGACTGGGAGGTCGAAGTGGATGATGGCGCCGGGGCAGCAGGGGGAGGAAGAGGATGACGCAGTGGAAGATGACGTGGATGAGGTGGCACATACACAACCACACAGTGGGCAGACTGTCGGGGGTTCAACCTCCTTTGTTACGATCCTGGCCAACTTCGAAGAACATATTCATGAGAAAGTACAATGTCGTCGAATTTCAAAAATAAATGAATGAACTTGAGAGGAGAGAGAGGGAAAGAAGAATAGGAAAGAAAGAAGAAGAGGATATACACCAGCAAAGACCAATGATAACTCCCTTCTTCTTCGCCAACCACTCTCCTCCGACTTATCTCCTCCCCTCTTATTCAAACAAGAAATAATAATAATAATAATGTTGAATGACTGAAGCAGAATCAACGTCCGAATCCCTCTTCTACCGCAGGTATCACATGATGTCCACCATAGCCATGGCCACTCTTCTCCTTCTTCCACCAAGGCCGAGGCTATGGTGGACTACCAGGGCATTGCCGTGCTATGGTGGACTACCAGGGCATTGCCGTGCTATGGTGGACTACCAGGGCATTGCCGTGCTGTGCAAAGGACAACACAAAGCAGCTATGGCTGCTCAAGCCACCGTGCCTGACTCTGCCTCGAAGCTTCTTGGTGCAGCTCAACCCCAGCGGGGCCTTCCAGATGCAGCGTCCACCAAGGTGATGAAGATGGGGTCGACCATAGCCAGGAAAGTACCTCTGGTGTTCCCCCTTTCTAGTCCTTGTCTTCATCCTCCAGTGCTGCTCTATGCTATCGCTGCTCCAGCCAGTGCTCCAACCAGTGTGTTGCCAAACGTGCACACCAAAATGAGGAGCACTTCGCTCCTCGTGGCGATATAGCGGCCTGCTTGCCTCTTGGCAAGTGACTTCCTAGGCTGGGCAATCTCCAAGCAACCGGTACCTCCGCCCATTCGGCGGGAAACATCATTGCAGACTCTGATATTGCCCGTACAGGCCGTAGACTTAGACGGGTTGGACTCGTACCCACCTAGACCTAGCCTACAACTACTGGGCCTCTAAAAATGTCAACTTTGTCTTCTTCTGCTCGGCCTCGAGTATCCGGCACATCTACCTCTTCCTGGTGTGGTATTGGCCTACCTGCTACCTGAGTGTTTTTTTCGCTGCTCCAAGTGTATACCGGACCCACCGTGTGTGGTGCTCCGCCTGGGATGATGATGGAGATGGAGGATGAGGGAGGAGCGAGATGGCACAGCGCAGCTCCCACGCAGGACTCCAATGCACGTACTCCAAATCGTGCCAGTGTAGAATGATCTCTAAAACAGACAACTGCTGGGGTATACCCCAACGGACTGATGGCACTGGACTGGACTGGCTGGTACCAACAGAGGTACCGGCCTGGACTGGATTGCCCCGAATAAAACACAGGCTGCTCTCAAGGGCTGGTCTCACAGGCCAACCAGAGGTTCGCTACACGATCCTCGGCTTGTGATGGATCGCCTAGATACAAGCACGCTTCCGCCAAGAAGCGGAACTCTACCAAAGAAAAAAAAAAACCTGAGTAGTTTAGGATGCGGAGCAAGCTCCATGCTGAGTCCATGCGATGCAACGTAGGATAAAAAAAGTCACAAAACATCAATGTTACAACTAACAGCCTAAGTGAAAGCAGAAGTAACTGACTAGCATACATGTCCTAGGCAAGCAGAAACAACTAACTAGCAAACATGTCCTAGGAAAGCAGAAAGTAGTGACAACTAAATCCTAGAATGTTGGTGGCAGAAACCTCAGTCTAGGAACAACTGACTAGTGTATAAGTCCTCAGAACAACAAAAGCAAAACAACTAAATCCTAGAAATGTCAAAGGCAGTAGCCTCAGTCTGAGAGCAACAAAGCAACCGTATGTCACATGAGGAGTGTGTCGTAAACCAAAGGGTAGGATGGTCTCTGAGGGTGGCGAATGTAGCCTAAGGGTCGAAAACTCCTAAGGGCATCCACACATAGTGACAAGGGAAACACTTGTCATCAGGCTCAATGAGGGTAGGGAACCGGGAGCAAACAGAACCAATGACCCTAACAGATAAACCATCAGGGCGGGTAATGTTCGACTAAGGGGTGACCGCTATGAAGGGTCGACCATGCAAGGGAACAAGGGAGCCTGGTATACTGGGCGCACCTAGATAAAGTATGCGGAGCTGCCTAACTAGGGCGTGATGGCCGACAAAGGGTAGAAAGGTGAAGGGTAAGGGAATCATGCAAACGACTCCTAAAATGAGGGAAGTCGGAGCTAGATCCGTAAGATGGGAAGCCAAGGCAACGCTACGGTCCCGATGCCTATACGTATACCAAGGGAGAACCCAACTCAGAGGAACCCGGCTAAAGGGAGACCATCATGCGACACAAGCAGGGTACTGTACAAGGGAAAGTGGTAAGGGAGCGATGACGTCTGGAGTAGGCAAAGCTGATCGTGACGAAGTCCATGAAGCTGCCGATGATGTCCGTGATGAGAAGTATGGAATGCCGTCGAGGAAGAGCTGCAATGTCGACGAGCTGAAGTAGCAAAACTGGAGTGGATGAAATACTGGGAAGTCAAGGATGTGGGAAGGCAAGTCAGAGTCAATCGTCGTATCGAGCAGGACGACGATGAGTGCGCTGTGGACGCTCAGAAGCATTCGGCTGCTGCTGAAGGTCTGCCTCAAATGGAGCAGGCTCGACATCAGCGGTTTCCTCAGCCGGGGTGAAGGAGGAGGGTCAGTGGGCTGAGGAGGAGCAATGAACCCAGCACGACGAACACGGTCATAGCCACGCACCAACATGCGAGCGTGCTGCAAGTGCTCGAGGGGCTCCCAAGTAGCCTCCTCATCAGGGTAACTCTTCCAGCGTACGAGATACTCGTCGTAGGGAGGGTGTCGTCGGTGACTCGGCGACCAATGATGTCTGAAACGAGGAACTCCTCGTGACCGTCCACCATGATGGGTGGAGGGCGCTCATATGGTCGTCCAACAAAACGCTCAGACGGTCTGCGGTGAGGACGCAATAACGAGACGTGGTAGACATCGTGCACACGAGCCTAGCGTAGGTAGTCGGGCAGCTTTACACGGAAGCTGATCGGGCTAGATGCCGTATCAGAATCGACGGCCTGGAGAATGCGGCATGGACTAAAGAAGCGATGCCGAAACTTGCGAGCGTGTCCGCTTCTAGCTGTAAGTGGCGGGCGTCGATAAGCACATCATCACCGACTTTGAATGCATGATCCATGCTCGATCGGTTCGCGCGTGCTGCCATGCGAGTCTGGGAAGTGGCTAGCGAACCTATCTTGCATGCTCGGACTAAGCGGGGTGACAACTCTGTGTGGTTGCGAGGCGACAGGCTGCCTGCATCGAGATGTTGTGAAGAGAGAGAGACGAGGTGTATTGTGGTGATGTTCTCTTCCATTCTTCTAAGTAGTTTTGGTATTGCCGCCAGTCGGCTTGTCCTTCTTTTTTATCGGCATCTCAGATTTTTTATTTTCCTTGCTTCCTTTCTTCGAAAACGGACATGTGGAGTGTTTTTCCCCACTCCCCGTCTCTGTCTTTTTGAATCGGCAAATATGATTAATTGGTTCCTGGCGATCGAGCCTTTTATGATGTTGGGGTCGATTGGCCAAAGAATTGTTGCATAATCCTCGAATCTTCTTGTTTGTCTGTGAGCTAGATGCATGGATGATAGGCGTGATTCTGTCTGTGTATGAATTGATATTAAACGATTGTCTCACAATAGGATGATCCATCTCACGAATCGCTAACTTTCATCCATCTGATCGAAGGAGAGGTTCCGTGCACGCATACATAGGCCTGACCAAAGACGAATGCTGCCTGCACATTCGTCTGTGAAACTTGAACTCGACTAATTTTGCAAATGGCTGGCGTTCCACCCTGACTTACAACATAAATTTCAGCGTTCCCTTTCGTGTCAGTGCCCGCGAGTGTTTGAGGGATCGGGAATTCCATAAATATTGGGAGCACTCTTGTTTACCTGCACGACCCTGGGCGGAACCTCTGGAATTTCCCTACTTGACGGGGAACGAACGTATTTGCGAGTGGGACCTCGACCAGGCCTTGGGACGTAACCCCATCTCCCCAGTTACCCTAGCCCACTCACGTCCTCGCGGAGCCCGGAATCATTATCTTAGGGACCAAATTCCCTCAATATCACCACACCTGCCCTACCACTCCCTAACCATCGTCCCCTAACTCGCAATTCCTCCTTACTGGCCCCAACCCCTACGCTCAGATTGTCTGTGGGACCACAAATACCAAGTCTCCGACTTCATTCGATGAACTCGTTTGGAGGAAGAATGACGGGCGAACAATCTTAGATTGAGGCCAGCCACGTCGCATTCAAAGACTTGAGAAATCCGACGTCGGCAGCGACGACAGGTGACGAATCGACGAAACACCCATAGCGTCCCGATAGTGCACCAGACACGACTCGACCTGGATGACGGAACCAACGGAGGGGATAACTCTGTTCCCCGGAGCAAAGACCGCGCCTAGCCTCCTCCATTCATATCCCAGAGCTTGTCACAAGAGATCTCAGTTACGATCTGGGACTCCATTCCCACTTTCCTAAAACCCTTGGCACACCCCCGTTTCGCACTTCCAGGCCCACTCACACTCCGATCAGGAAGTCACGTCGGGCATGAGGTTAAATCGGAGCTGGCACGTGGCAGGCCCAGAGATTGTCGATCAGGTAGGGTATAAGGGACGATCTGGCGAACAGAGGACGCCCTAGGCAGAGGAACACGCCACGGCGCGACCCTATAATATCTCGGAGTAGGTCGGTCGGTCGGCAGGCTGCCAATATGAATGCCAACCCGACACCAAACGTTGGTGGAGCCTTAGCCCCTCGAGCACGCACCCCGACAACTCCACGTGATTTATACCTTTTTTACCCTGTACATCATCTGGTCGGAGCATGGCTACCCACACGACAATGCTGAGGCCAAGATCAACATCCCCGCTAGTTTGGGAGGGGATGTGCACCATTGGTTCACTGTTTACGTTTGGGTAAATCTCCCGACTTCGAAAGGGACTTCTGAAATCGATGTGATTACATCCACCCTGAGCAAACCCTCTTCATGATCAAAGACCGAGTCTAGAAGCCCCTCGAATCCGTCGCCGAATACCGCAGTAGGTTCTATAGGTTGTTTGTTAAGTTTGAACGGGGCGAAAACGTCGGAAGAGATTTGTTTATCGATGGGCTTCGTAGTCGAACGATGAGGGCGAAGCTGCGAAAGCAATTTTCCCCGATCAATGACACCATGCAATAGATCATGGACGTTGCATAAGAAATGGAGAAAAAGTTTGCCGCAAGCTTCTTAGAAGGGGAAGACCACACCAAGGAAGGGGACTCTTCGGAATTGGCTAGAGCGAAGGCCGAACTAGTTGCGCTCCAAAAGAAATTTGAAAACATGGTCTTCGTGGACTGTGTTACATACCTGAGATTGATACCAGACACAACCACGGGACTGCCTCTGATGGTTACACCTACACCTCCCCCACCTGTGCCTCCCCGGATCCCCCCGCAAAACCAAGTGATTCAAACGCCATACTGGAGTTAACCCGAACATTGGTTAGCCTGATGCAAGAAAGCAAGAAAGAACACCGCGAGCATAATGCTCGAATAGAAGCCATGATGAGATCGATGCGCCCTATTGTTGTCCGAGTTTCGCCCATAACACAAGTAGCAGCAGCCCCCACTCAGGCGGTAAGCGGTGTGGCGGCTAATCTAGGTGTTTGTTACACGTGTCACCAGCCCGGCTACCTAGCCCGAGACTGCCCCAACCGACCAGCTCAAGTCCGGCTAGGAGCTGCCCCTGTGACCGCAACACCGGTAGCAACGGACTAGGAAAAGTGGGCACGATGATTGTGGAGATAGAAGGGGGGGGGGGGGCGATAGCTACCATCGAGGAAGCTGCAGAACTTATCTCGCTCGATCAATATATGTTGCTGGGCTACCCAGGGTTGGGAATGATTGGAACCATCCGCCAGCGAACGAGCAACGAGAAATAGTAGAATGGAGACCGTCCCCCGGAGAAGTAAAAGCGGGTGGTCCTGCCTTCGTTACGGGAGCAATTGATGTCCTGAATATCGTCCGAGCCCTGGATCATCAAATCCCCTTACCTATCGGACACCTGTTGTCCATATCGGAACAGGCGAATGAACGAATACTGCAGTATTGCAAGGCAAACCGGAAACGGTTTGCCCTCGCTAAGCAAGCAGCCATAAAAGGGAAAGCCCCTGCCCGCAAAGACAAACCCGATGTCCCCAGCACCTCGGACCCGATACGGTTAGGACTCATCCGAAAAAACGATCATTTTTGAAATTAAGGCCATTCCGTGGGAATCCACGGAATGTGACCTAGGAGTCTGGGGAAATCCATACAATGCTATCGACTCATGGGCCGCGGTCCTAACCTTTCTTTGAGGGTCGTGGAACGGGCAGGAAGAAGAAAGGATCTGATCACGTTGGCAAAAGGAGATCCCCTTGTCTCCGCCGACGAGGAAAAGATCAAGGTAGTAGGAAGGATGACAAATGTTGCGTTTCGACTAGGGCAAGTTCACACGTTGGGAGATGTCATGGTACTAAACGTAAATGCATATGATGTTCTTTTAGGATTACCAGCCCTTACCGCACTAAGAGCCAATCTCGATTTCGAGAGGCAGTCAGTCATTTTGCAGAATACGGGCGGGAAACCATATGTTATCCTGATGCGCCTAACTCTCCGGACTACGTTGCCTGCCACCCGGAAAAGCTCCCCCGAGACTAGAGAACCACTCCTTGTGATCACATGGAAGGAAACGAACCAAGGAGAAAAGACACCGATGTTGTCAAGCAAATCTTTTGACAGTGAGGACGAATCAAACCCAGTAATCCGAGATATGGTGCACCAACTGATGCGTTACCACGTTCGACAGAAAACAACGAAAACATTCGTCCTTACGGAAATAAGTCTCCAATGGACGTGAGCCCTAATCTTAGGGGAACCACTCGTGCAAGTGTCTCGAATGGCTGATTCTTTGGAACCTCCTGAGACCTTATACGAAGCCACCACCCCGCTTCTCTCGAGATACAGCGACAAGTAAACATTCTGCAACATTACTACATCACCGTGTTCCCTGCTCTCTACAGGGAGGAAGTTTGATTGCTGCGACAGGGCGCCGAAGACGGAGCTTTGGAACCCCCTGGGCGCGACAACCCTACGAACTCGGGATCGAGATCGCCGAAAAACCCGTAAGCTTGCAGGACATCGATGACGGCATAACACGAGAAGAACACGTGGCAATTCACGAAGCGCCCAGTTGGTCGTTACGGTGTTCTGCTGGCGATCGGACAACTCATTTATCTAAGCTCCTCCCCCTAGAAATGGTAGTAAAATGGGTACGAAACAGGTGACAGTTAACATACACGGACAGCTCTATGAACTACATGTGCCCCAATACGTGTCCGATGAAACTCATCGACTAATCGCAGATTTCCTAACCGAATATTAAGGGGCGGTCCACGTCCATGAAAAAAAAAAAAAAAAAAAAAATCTGAAAAATAAATATGTTATGCAGAAAAATATACTGAACAACTTTTGCCTTGCGGTTATATCCAAAACTTTACTGAATTTAAAATAAAAAAACACATAATATCGAAAAGATCTACAACCCCATATATATATATTTTTTTTTTGAGAATTTGTTCAAGTCTAAAACAATTCATGAAACTTGCGGCCGCACCCAACCGAGGTCGCAGCCGAGGCGGCCGTGATCACGACCGCCCTCCGAGCTCGACTCCGCGGACGCGTCCGCGGGTGTTTCGTAGCCCGTAGTTCTAGTTGCGAAGAAGAACGAGTGGATTCGCATATGCATCGATTATAGGAAGTTGAATGACTTCACGATCAAGGATGTGTACCCGCTTCCCAGGATTGATGATTTGTTGGATGCGATTCGGTGTGCCAAATATTTTTGTAAGTTTGATATCCGCCGTGGATTCCATCATATCCTGGTTAAGGAGGAGGATCGGTCAAAATTGGCGTTCGTATTGTTTGAAAGCACGTGGCAGCGGGTTCGTTGCCCTATGGGAATATGCAATGCGTCGACAACCTTTGAGAGCGATGATCATCACCTTTCAGAAGTTCGTCAACAAAGACCCGACTGACAGTGGGAATGATCAACTTCTGCGTCATTGTGTACATAGACGATATCTTGGTGTATTCTGAACCGTTTCAGGACATGCTCATCACATTGAATGGACACTCGGGGCATTGCGGGATGCTGGACTCAAGATTGCGCTGGAGAAAAGTGAGTTTTTCCTTCCTGGAAATCTCGTTTCTGGGTACGTGGTGACACGAGGAGGTTTGAGGCCAAATTCGAGAAAAGTCGAGGCGGTTCGAGAAGCCCCTACGCCCACGTCGCTGGCACATGTTCGAGCCTTTCTAGGACCGACCTCGTATTACCGGCCTCTAAGAAACCTCTTACGTAAGGACCCCCCACTGAAGTGGGACGTGGAATGCGAGCAGGCCTTTGTCACCTTAAAGGAGGCCCTAGCCTTCGCGCCCATTTTGATTCGGCCTGATCCGGGTAAGCAATTCATCGTTATTACAGACTGGCAGCCTAAGGCAATCTCCACTATTTTGGCCCAGAAAGGGAAGGACGGTCTCGAACACGTCATCGACTACGCCTCACGAATTGTACCCAACGAAGGAAGGAACGATTCGGAGAATGCTACGCGGTCATTTGGGGAATTCAACACTTCCATCTGTATCTATACGGACATAAGTTCCTCCTCGTTACGGATTACGAGCCCCTGCTGACTCTCAAGAGGCTCACTAATTGTACGGGCATGATTGGGCGATGGGTTGTCCGACTACGGGAATATGACTTCGACATCATCAATCGGAAGACGACAAAGCACGGGAATGCAGATGGGTTGACACGACTGCATCGGCCAAGCAAGGTGGCCGAAAGTGAAGAGATCACTCCGTGGAAAGAGCCGGAGCCAGGCAAGGGATCCCCGTACAACGAAGTGGTCATTCTCCCCCGAACTTCCAGAAAGTGACGCGTGGACACGATGGCGATGGGTGGAGAAGGTAACTCTAGAGGCCCCCTTTCTCCCCTCTCAACTTCTTCTCTTCTTTCCTTGCTTGATAAATTTTGTTATTTTTGTGAAGCGATATCACGATTCTATTCGGTTCCTGTACATCCTAGGGATGAAGGGTATGTCGAGTGGGTAGACTGTGGACAGTGTGTTTCTCGGGCCCATGACTCTTGTATTTAAAACAGGAACGCAGATAAAGCCTGGTTATGTCCTTTGTGTCGAACCAATAAAATCCCATCGGAGGCTCGATTCCTTGAAGCCACGTCCGAAGGGTTGGAGAAAACACGCAAATTTCGACGTGCGAAAGTATGGACAAATGCGTCTTGATAGCCACGGTAGTCGGGAACTCCCTCCTGGAATTCACCAAGGAAGATCGGATGCGGGCTAATCAGAGGGCACAAGATTACCGATGGAACGACGTACGGTTGGAAAAACGGAAGATTGACGATACTGGGATTTGGATGTCGGTGCCTCATCCGTTCATGAGGTACGACTGGGTTAGGTCGGCCCACGACGAAACCGTCGCTCACTTTGCTGTCAGGATCACGGAGGCATCCATTGACAAAAACGAATAGTATTGGTCCAATATCCGGGACGATGTTAAATTCATCGTTAAAAATTGTCCGATCTACGCGGCAGACAAAGTGCCGATTCAGCCACCTCGGTCGATATTGCCTACTGTAGTCAAAAGGCCGTTCCAAAGGATTAGCATGGACACGACACATATTCTTGTGCCCCCTGGACCAAATAGCTGCAAATATTCAGTTCTTCTGGTATTCGTGGATCATTTCTCAAAACGGATCGAGGCCTATCCCTGCAAAACGCGACAGACGGTGAAAACTGTGAGGTATGTCAACCGTTTCCTCGGAATGCATCAAGACACCGAGGAAATCTTAACGGACAAAGGGGCAGAATTCAGAGGAGAAGTCTTAAGGATCCTAGTCATACATGGCGTCTCTATTACTCTTCATATGTCGCAATCTACGTAACATTGTGTTCGCGTTCGGAGGTGAAGGCGAGCATGTTCGCCCAGCATCCAAAAACCTTTGAACGCGAACATAAAAAATAATAAAATATAAATAAAAGAAAATAAACCCCGGTTCGCCCGAAAAAGATAGCGGATGACCGAAATGGCCCATGGACGACAGTTCCGGACCTATGAGGCCCGAAATGGGAACGTTGGGCCTCATCCCCAATTTAAATTAGGGGACATAGTGCAGGTAAGGAAATGTGCTCGCTAGGGCAAGTTAGCGCCACGATTCTTCGGGCGATTTTGCATAGTCGAGCTCGGTCTTAGCGGAGTGAACATGGTGCCGCTTGCGCCAGAGGTCTCAGGTAGCCGATTGGTTCGACCGATCATTCGACAAGTGTCATATCTTCGTCCCTAACCTCCTTCTCCTTCTCCCCCATCGTAGACGTCGTCCCTCGATTCTGAAGAGGAAGGCGATGATCTCGAACTCGACTACGCTGATTCCCCCTCCATTCAGCCTTCGTCTCTACCTCCTCCCCCATCGCCATGAGCTTTTCTACCGAGCAGGTTATTAGCGAACGTCTAATGAGACCTGGAGGGCATATTTCGTTGATCCAGCAGGTACAGCGACCTCTATCGAATCCCGATTTGCTCCGTTTTGCAGCTTTCTTCACTACGACAACCGTTCACGTGGCGGCGGAATTTCGGTTTGTGTGGACCAGTGATCGAACGTGGGTGTTGGCCGAGGTGTCGACTTTTCTGCGGCTGTCTCCACCAGGCGTCAGCCACGTGACAGTGATCGTTGCCTTCACCAACGACGTTACGGTGTTGCATCTGTCCGGTCATCTAGGCGCTCTCCGACAACTGCGACTCTGGGCACGGGACCTCACGGATGAGTGGGTCTAGCTGTTAGCTCGGCCAGGCGATCGGATCGACTCCAACAACGACATCGAGCTCAGCCAGCTCAGGCTCTCTCTCACTACGCTGGACGTCATCATCTCGGAGCTTCTTCCCTTTGTGCCGCCTGCATGAACCGGCACCGCCTCTCGGCCTTCAGTCTTCCTTATGATCTCCCTACCTTCTGGCAGTCCGCTATGGACGTCCCTCTTTCTTTTCGGATCAGGCAACTGGACGTGTCGATCCTTGATGCCGACAAGTGGGCTGAGTGGTGGAACGTGTATGCCGCGCTCAACTTCTGCCTTCTCGAAGTGATCTTCCATTGGGCGGAGCCGACCGATAAGGACGGGAAGACGAAGTCCCCGATGATGACGTGGAGATGATGATAATCCACGTGTGGAGGACGGACACGGAAGGAGAGTTGTTAGGGATTCTATTCGGAAAGGTGAGGGACGACCATTTGGAGCCAATCACAAGCGAGATTGTGGTGTTTCTGACGCAGCTCGTTGACGATCTACCTCTGGATATCTTGTCGCACTGTGACGAGCTGGCCACACCGACGGTGCTTACCTGTACGTTGGTGCCACATCTACTGTGGTCCACGTGTACGGAGCTCGACCGAGACAACTCCTACTACCCCTCCTCGGGCCACTATCTGGTCATTGACGTGACCGATCTCACCTTGTGGGATCCGATCACTCGAAGGCTGGAAGCAACAGAAGAGCTAGATGAAGAGGAGGAAGAGAGAGAGGAGGGGAGCGAAGAAGAAGAAGAAAACTCGGGGGCGGAATGTGACGACCCCGATTACCACGAGTCAGAGGAGGGCGAGCTAAAAGAAAGTGAGTCGGGCAGATTGGGTAGCTCCAGCGAACGGAGTAAGGAAGAAGACAAAGCCGCAACTCAAAGGAGGCGGGAAAAGGCGGAAGGAAAGCGGCTAGTGCAAGAGTCGGACGGACGAGCTTCGTGGCTACTACAAGGTGATCTGGCGCGCAATCGAGAGCCACTGCAGGAGGAGCCTGGAGGAGATGGTGTCACCACCACCGAGGGATCCAAAAGCAAACGCCGTAGAAGAAGTTCTTCACAGGCTCAATCCTCTCCACCACCGCAGTCCACCGTTCACATACGTGGAGATGTGGGCGCTCGGGCTTCATCTCTGGTCGTTATCTCGTTGTCCCCTTAATTACCTCACCCTCCATCAGTACGCGGGCTGCCCTCCGTTCCCTTCTAACAGGCATCCTTTCCCGCCTTCCCTCTTCCACCAACTCTACTCTACCCGCCTCATCGCCACATTTTTCTTGCACGCCACCACTCGCTCTCTCATAACCTCTTTTCCCGTCCACATCCTTTTCTTTCGCGCGGCATGGCAGGAATATAATAATATAAAGGTTTATAGATGGCTCCGATCTATTAGTGGGGAGCAACACCAGTTATGAGAGAGCGAGTGGTGGCGTGCTTCCGCCTTTCCCAGTCGCAGATGACGATGGCATATACTGTGATGCGGACGTGCAGAGCCTGCTGCAGCATACTGAGCCAATCCATCTTTATAACCCGACCCAGGCGTGCCATATAGGCGGGAGTGGGTTTGTGCTGATTGAGCGTTTTACTTCCCCACCCTTAATTTTGTCGTACACAGACCTCACGGTGTTGCTCTGATCCGCTGTGCACGCCACCTGGCGACCACTATTTAATTGTCACTGGTGTCGCCAGGGAGACTCGTTCTCGTGGCGACGGTTGGTCCTGGGGTACGAAGGGGTTACTCGATTCCCCGAAGTCTCCCGCAACGCGAGTGCGCTCCCGGTCCATTTCCGAACCTCGGGCCCATCGACCTGCCCAACCCCAAGCTAGCCCGTGCCGCGCCATCCGCACGGACTCGACGAGTCTGAGAACGAAGCCTAAACCTGTTCTTAGGGCCTTCGCCCCCAAGGGCCGCGCAAACCCCGCGCCTCGGGGAACGGAACTTCGTTTCCCTTCTCCCCTCCCCTCTCGTTTTGTTTTCTTTCCTTTTTCCATGGGGGAATGGCGGTCGGCCCGTAGGACGCCGTCGTTCGCCCCCGGCGACAGCTCAAGCCCCGGCCTGGGCACCTTGGCCTGAAGTAAGAGTCCCCCGTTTCGACCGGGTGGCTCAACCCCCATGGCTAAAAATCCTCGGCCACGCCCCTAATAACTATGATCGGCGTCCGAAGTACAGAATGTCGTGCGGGCCGTGAGGTTGCGCATCACATGCCGTACTAGATACCGGGCCCCCTGGATATACCACTTCTCACTAGAACCTCTCCTCTAGTGACAGCGCGTGTGGTGGGAAAGGGTCTGAGAATTCGTTTGTGGGCCGCAGAGGGATGCTGGCTCCCACCTTTATCCAGTCCTTGAAAGAAAGGGGATAGTCCCCGGGGACTTCGGCTCGTGTGCCCACCTCTCTCCCTTGCCATTCCCCACTCGTATCCCCTGACCAGTATAACCTCCCCACCCATCCCTCCCTCCACATTGGGGAACTTGCACACATCACACGGGGACAAAGCAGCAATGGAGAAAAAACTTCGTCTTACAAATACATAATTGTCTCAACTGGCCGCTCCGGGCCTAGTCCCCAATCCGTCAAACCACAACCAACCATAGCCACACGGCCCTGCCGCTACCGGCGTCTGATCTCCACCACCGCCCAGTCCCTCCAACTGCCTTACCCCAAGCCTACTGCTAACTCTGCCACCCGCTGTCACTCCGCCCACCACGGGGCATGTCGAGCCTTTCCGGCACCACGGGCTTTGCCCATAGCTTGCGCAGCTTGCAGCCGAGATCAAAGAGAGCGAGAGGAAGGGGTTGCGAGAATTTATAGTGCGGAAGGCGGCGGAGAGGCTGCACGAAGTGTCGGGTGTAGGTGATCAGGACAGAAGAAGGGCAAATGTTCCGGAAGGATCGAAGGAGGCGAGTCGAATGGTCTGCGTGTTTGGGGTGGTCGTCCAAGTGGGGTGCGCTTCCCGCGGCCACCACATTGCCCCGACCATCCCAATCAAACAACCAATCATTCGCAAGGGAAGGAGAGGGAGGGAAGCAAACTTCGCTTAGAGGGAAGACGAAGAGACATGCAGGAGGCAGATGCACAACAACTTCAGCAAGATGGGAAGATGGCGCGGGGCTGCAGAGCGGGAGAACAGGTTTACAAGACGCGTGAAATTCAAAAACGGCCGCTAACTGGCCACGCCAGATCCGAATTACATTTTCTATTCCGCCGGCACCTCCCCCCCCCTTTTAAACAAAAAGGAAAAAAAAGGAAAATGAAACACCGCTTTTCCCCATTATCTTGAATCCGCACTTCGGGGTTCTACATGGGATTTTCCCTTAGGGGTACGGGAAACTGCCGAGTGCGGAGCCTGGCTTATCACATTTGTGATGCGCATGGGTTTCTGAAAAAATAGCAGTCTCCTGACTGCTGTATAGGCCTCCTAATTAGCTTGATGATCCAGGCGGCCACTTCTTTGTTAGTTGGCCCAATTCATCACCTACTCTACTTAAATGCCTCCCGCATCGCTATGGATCTCCCCTCCTATTGTACACCTGATCGGGCGGCCCCTTCATCGTCAGCTGGCCCGATCAACATATGGCTATAGAAATTATTATTATTATTATTTTTTTTTATTTTTTTATACACAACGTGTTTTGCCGCACGATCTTTGTAATTAGAAACAGGAGAAGAAGACAGGGGGAATAAAAAGATCAGAGGAAATGGTCAATCTCGGGATTAAGAGGGGGAGGAAGAGGAGGAAGAAAGGCTGCCAGCTCAACTGGAGTTGGCGGCGCCTCCACTTCGTTGAAGTGGTGTTAGATGAAGGAGGGGTAGAGAAACACCCCCGGTATGTGTGCCAAGACGCGTGGCGCCGATCCGCAATAGCCCGTACAACCCGTCGCCGCACCGTGCGATTCCCGGGAACCGTCATCACCAAGTGGGTCTCGGTATACGGCCTCCGCTCCCGCTTGAGCACCGCGATGACGAGGAAATGGTACATTACATTTGGTCGCTGGTTGGCCTCGTAAATGCGCGTTCCTGCAAGTCTAGCCTCAATGCATCCCTCAAAAGGTGGTTGCAGATATGGCTCTCACGCATGATCATGACGCGGGGCCCCCTTGATTGCTTCGAGCCTGATTGTTGCAGGCTCCACCATGAACGCGACATTCGTCGGGTGGACCGTCCGACTTGGAGGAACTGCTAAGGTCAATGACCGGGGCACGCTTGGGTGGCTGGCGGAAGCAGAAACGTCCTGCGAGGATAGGGGGTCTAGATGCAGGATATGGTACTCCTCCTCCTCCTCCTCCTCCTGCTGGTGCTGACGGGCCGTCTCCATCGAGATTGAGATCGGGAAGGAGTGGCTGCGATGGTGTTCGTTTCGGAGGGCTCCCGCGTATCCGAAATCTGCTTGTTCCCACTCCTTCCCCAGACGGAGGTCTCTCGATCGGTGTTGCCTTGCTCTCCGGAACGAAATATGGCTTCCGCACCTGCTCGGTTTGGTCCACCTCTTCTCCGGGTCCCACCCGACTTCCTTGCGCCTCCGGCGATGGCTGGCGACGTCTCTTCTTGGGCGTCTTCCTGAGGGCCCTCAGGGCTACTGGCTTGGGGTAGGATAAGGGAGGCCGCAACGGCTTCCAGTCGACAATGCTCACCACCGTTTCCCCCTCCCGCACAATATAGTCCGGTATCATCGCCTCGTGGTAAGATCGTCGCGGAGTTGATGCTGTTCGCAAGTGGAGTTGGAGATTCTCTTCTTCGTTGGTGATCACTTCCGCGATAGACAACAATTCGATATGAATGAGCTCGAGCAGTCCCGACCTTCTCGTCCCGATCTCCCCGAACGGGTATAATGCCACTGTGCCCTCCTTCTTCTCCGTTTGGGTCATGAAATGACGTAGTACACCCGCAGGTTCTCGACAATGTTGTGATCGTCGTGCGACACGGAAAACCGAAACATGCCCAGCACCACCGATCGATACAGCGCACGGTGCAATTCCCACACGTCCTCCTCAGCTTGCGGCAGCGGCTCCACGTCCTCCAGCTCCACCAGATACTCGCGGAAGTTGCGCATGGGGTGGGGGCTCTCTGTGAGTTGATAAGAAAGGGTGGTGTAAGAAATGAAGGGAGACATTTAGTATGAGGGAAGGGGAATGGCTTGGATGTTTAGAGGATCAGCGGGGTGGAAAAGCGAGGGCAACTGGCGCACAAGTGTCAGCGGTCCGTCTGGTGTCCGTCACAACAACGCGTAATATGACATGAATCGATGGCCCCTTCCTTGCGCTCGCGCCACCGATCTCGTCACTTGCGCTGTGTACTTTCGCAGGAAGTTCCACACCAGTTCGAGGTATCGATCGTCCAGGGGCGTCCGATCGCTGATGAACGTAGTGACGCTGTGAGCAAAATTGACGGCCACCTGGTGCGCGCGGAACTCGATGAATATCCTGGTGGTTTCCTAGCCAGGCAGCTGCGTAATGTCTACGTACACCCCCACGCAGGTCACCTGTTTACTCAAGAGCGAGTACGTGGCGAGATCTGCAATGTTGGGCCCAGGCACGTTCACCTGCTGGACGTCGTACCGCAACTGCCGATCATCATTGAATCGATGCTCAATAAGTGATCCGCGATCGACGTTTGGAAATGCTCAACTGGCTTATTCCCCTGCTGCCACTCTGCTGGTGCTGGCTCATCCTGCGCGATTAAGTCCTCAACCTCAAATGACGAAGTGGATTGGAAGGAGGAAGAAGAAGAAGCAAGTGAGGACGAGGAAGCAGAGGGAGAAAGTTGGGACGGGGCCTGAGCCCGCTCGTGATCCAGCAATGGCTGGAATGGACGAAGGGCAGCAGCGTGGCGAGTCAGCGGCCTGACCTGTGCGCAGTGGCGGGGAATAAGTTTCACGGAGTGCTGTCCTTGCGCGCCAACTTCCATCACCTCGTAAATGTCAGTATAGCGAGGGTAGATCTTGGAGGAGCGCGCAGATTTCTGTACCTGCACTAGATCCCCGATCTTATAGCGGGGCAGCGGACCGGCGGAGGCATGCCGGTTCTCGTAATCTTTGATCTGCCACTGGTGCGTCAAATCCACAGCCCTTTGTCGCCGTCGGGCTAACGTGGGGTAGGTCCTAGCCATCAAATCCATGTAATGCTGGGCCTTTTCTCGGTGTTGAGCCCGGGTCGCTCTAACTTCTGTACCGGACTACTCTGTCAAAGGGGGATACAAAGCCCCCAGCCCACTAGTGGCAATCGACCAC